CAGAGAGAGCATCAAAATGTTATATATTTTTTTATTAATTGGATAATTAGCTAATAAATATGAATAAGGGTTAAAAGAGATAATTAAACAAATATAAAAATAATATAAAAATAATATTTAAGTTCTATGTCAATTTCTACTGAAATTGTTATAGTTTAAAAGAGAAAAAAAATAAGGTAATAGTATTTCAATTAGATATAATGATCTGAATAATTATACTAACTAATTAATTTACGAATTATTTAATTGAAGTGACTAACAAATTAACTAACTAATTAAACTATCAAAAATAACAAAAATAACAAAGATTCTTTCACTTCATTCTTCTTACAAGAAAGAAATTATAATATCGTTAGTTGAGAAATTCCAAATAATTCGATTATAACAAAAAATATCAAAATACTAGTCTATAATAAAATATTAATTTAATAATTCAATATCAATATTTTTTTGATCAGCTCAATATGATCTCAAAGCTACTTGTTTACAAGATTTAAAATATATAGTTGAGAGAGAAAGATGAATTGTTTAAGTGTTAAAAGATATTTATTTTATTATGTAAGTTCTGACATATTAAGTTAAAGCTCAACTATAACTCATATTTATACATTTTCTTTGAAATACAAATATAATATTAAAAATAAGAAAAAGATATAAAAGATAATTATATTAACTAAACATAGAATTCCAATTTACTAAATATGAAAAGTAGAGAAATAAAGAAAAAAAAATAAATCTCAAAGAATTTTAATTAATTAAATTATATCTACTCAGAATAAATAAGTATAAAAGTATAAAAAATATAAAAATATAAATATATAGAAGTATAAAAAGTATAAGAGTACAAAATAAAAAAAATACAAAAAGTATAAAAAGTATAAATATATAAAAGTATAAAAAGTATAAGAGTACGAAGTAAAAAAAGTATAAAAAATATAAAAAATATAAGAGTACAAGATAGAAAAATTAAAGTATATAAATATAGTAATTAATAATATATGATGAAATTATGAAATATTCTAAGTTTTTTACATAATTTTTATAATTTTGTAAAATATTACAAATTATAGAATTAACAAATTTTATAATATAATTATAATACTGTTCTATCTAAACAAAAAAACAAGCTTGTTGAAACTGGAACAAATGATCATGCAAATCAATTTATAAAGTAATAAAAGAACTAATAAAATTCTTGTAATACTGCACCAATTATAGAACTAAACACAACAATTTGAAAAATGAAAATAATAATTGGATCAAAATATAATTACACATATAAAGATCTATATCATTTTAATATACTCCAACAGTATTATAACTCTAACTTTTTATATAGATAATCAACTATTTAACTACTTTAATTAATTTATATTAATTATTAATTATCATAATTAATTCATTTAAAAATTATTATTAATCAAATTTAGTTAAAAATTTTGAAAATCATAAAAATTCAAAAAATATATATATATAGTCACTTTTAATTCTATCATTTGTATTAAAATTTATTTTATTTACTTTCTATCATATTATCTATTAATTTTAAAAATATTTCACTGAAAATTAGCAATGAAATTACAAACAAAAATTCAAAAATATTGTCCTAAATATTAATTTATTATCGATCATAATGGATCATGTTTTATCACTGCTCCATCACTTTATGAAGAAACAAATAATAATGATAATTTTGTGAAGTTGATTAATATTATTTAGATTTATAATAAAAGAAGAAGATAATTTTATTAAAAAGTTATCAATAAAAAAAATTATTTAATAACTAAATCATTTGAATTAAAAAAAGAATTCTGAACTCATTTTAGCAGTTCAACAAAATGAACATGTTATTATCTATCTTTATTAAATTAGTCTCTTCCAACCTTAATTACTTAAAACATATAAAAATCTTTAATAACTCTTCCACCTAATTGAAATACATGAAGAATACATAATCTATATTTAAAAGATAATAAAATCAACAGAAATGGTAACAGTATTATTAATTTTAAAAACATAAAGAGCAATTTTTTCTTCTTGTTCTTTCTTTAAAATACTTTTAATTGTACTATAATTCTTTGATTTTATAATATAATTCTATATTAAGCATATTGTAATTTAAATAAAAATTTATTTCAATAAGATTAAATATTAGTTAAATTTTGGCATAATATAAACTTAAAAATATAATTTATATTTATATAATTTGTATAGTTATAAATAGTTAAAATATCAAATTAGTTAGTTAACTTTTAGTCACACCAGTTATTTATATCACATAACAAAATATTAACTTTATCTGATTTTGTTACAGCATGCTCCATATTATAATTATAGTAATTTATATAAATAATACATCACTTGTATTACTAATAATTGATTATCTAATTTTCATTTACATATAATTTGATGAATACAAAAATAATAGACAAATAATATCTAATACTATATTACAAATAGTAAATAAATAGAGATATATTGTTATATTAGTTCATCTATAATTCATATTAATTCACCAAAGTGATAATACATTTTTTTTGTCATTTTTATCAAAAATATAAAAAATATACTTTAATTTTTTTTTGAACATATAAAATCAAAAAAAGTTTTATAATAAAAAAATTTCTTGGCATGTATTCTATTAGAATTAAAATATATTAACTGATAAAAAATATGAGAATACTCATTAATTATTAATAATAATTTTTTGAGTATTTTACTATATAAAGTTTATTAATATAATAATCTTCTATATAATAATTAAACTTGTTTATAATGTTAAATTCTATAAGATAATAAAAATTTTGTTGTATTTTAAAATATAAATAATTATTTTACAGATTTTAAAAGAAAAAAATAAATTTTAAAATTTTTTGTAAATTATTAATAAAAAAATTGGTTTATAATATTAAATTTTGATAATAAATTATTATTTTTCAGGTTTTATTCTAATTATTTATAAAGATTTGAATATTAATTTATAAATTATAATAAAATATATAAATTTTTTTTGAATTTATACAAATAATAAATTTATATAATAAATTACTACTAAAATCATGTTTTTATTTTTATTAATTAAAATTAATAATAAATTGTTATATATAAATAATATTTAAAAATTAAAATGTATTTTTAATGAAAAATCATGTTTTTATTAGTAATTTATTATATAAATTTATTATTTGTATAAATTCAAAAAAAAGAATTTATATATTTTATTATAATTTATAAATCAATATTCAAATCTTTATAAAAACTAGAATAAAACCTGAAAATAATATTTTATCATTAAAATTATATATTAAAACTTAATATTACAAACTAGTTTTTTATTAAAAAATTTTAAAAAATTATTTTTTTTTAAAATCTGTAAAATAATTATTTATATTTTAAAATACAACAAAATTTTTATTATTTTATAGAATTTAATATTATAAACAAGTTTAATTATCATATAGAAGATTATTATATTAATAAAAAAAATTAATTTTACATAGTAAAATATTTAAAAAATTATTATTAATAATTAATAAATATTTTCATATTTTTTATCAGTTATTATATTTTAAAATAGTTAATTCTAATAGAATACATGCTAAGAAATCTTTTTTATTATAAAACTTTTTTTGATTTTATATATTCAAAAAAAGTTAAAGTATATTTTTTATATTCTTGATAAAAATAACAAAAAAAATGCACTATCACTTTAACGAATTGACATAAATTATAAATGAACTGACATAACATTATGTTCTTATTTATTTATTATTTGTAATCTAATATTAGATGTTATTTATTTATTATTTTTGTATTCATCAGATTGTATGTGAATAAAAATCAAGTAATTAATAATTAATAATGACGGATTCAAATTTGAACCACTAATTAAAAATATACTACTCTATAAAATCTACTTATTTATCAATTTTCATAAAAATCAGCTTAATTTATATAAATATTTAAGATCTTAAAGTCTAAATCTATGCTGGAAACATTAATATATGAATAAATACTCCTAGCATAGATTCAGACTTTAGGATCTTAAATATCTATATAAATTAAGTTAATTTTATGAAAATTGGTAAATAAGTAGATTTTATAGAGTAGTATATTTTTAATTAGTGGTTCAAATTTGGATCCTTCATAAAAAAAAAAGTTCTTCAATGTGAGAAATTTACTAATTGTAAATTTCGATTTAAATCACTCTATTTCACAAAATAATCTGTTGTCAAATTATTAGATTCTGAACACTTTTTTATTTTGTCCAAACTAATAGTCAAGGCAAATCGAATGGTATTGTTTTTGTTTGAATCGGATCGAGATAACGTGTCCTAAATTGGCTGATTAATTTTTGTAGACTCCAAAAAAATGAATCGGCTGCTTTAAGAGGTAATATTTCGACGACCAGTGATCCGATTTGAACAAAAATATTACCATTTGATCACCTCAACTGGACTAATCGAATGGTTATATATTTGTTCAAATCGGATCACTGAATGTTAAGAATTAGTTTATTGAATATTGAGATGTGTGTTATGAAATAACTTATTACGTATACATGCACGTATTTAGGATGTAATGTAACAAAAACATTTATCAATTTTAATCACAGTTCGATTTTTATATTTTTAAAGATTACCAGAACAAAAGAATATTTTACAAGTAATATGACTCCTTTTCCTACTGATTTTTCCCAGCCAACTGTTTATAAGAAAAGCAATATAAGAGCAATAATTTTGTCGATATAGAGGTTCCCAAATTTGTCGAGATTTATTATTTGTTTAAATGTTAACGTGTATAAATTATTATTTATGTGTAATTTTGTATGCAATATGAAAATAAAAAGGCGCACATTTTTTAAACTAGAAGTACAAAAATTTCCAAACAAAAAAAAATGTACAAAAAATATATTAGGAATAAGAATTGTTTATTATTTTTTCCCTACAACTATAATTGCTAGTGTCTTCATATCGTAAAAATGTTCTCAATTTATTTCTTTAATTGTCTTCTTTTTTTTCCTCTTTCGATTTAACGAACCCAACCTGTTCTTCCATGGATAATTCTTCCAAGGTTAGACCCTTAGTTTCAGGTATCAAAAAGGTGAAAAGTAGACCGATAAACATGAAAAGCGCGAAAATTTTAATTAAGGTTGGGATATAAGCACTGTCTCCCTTATCTTTAGATTTCATTACGTAGATGATTATTTGTGCAATAATTGCGCCGAGCTTGCCCGATGCTGCGGAAATACCATGACCTGTTGATCGATATCGAGTTGGGAAAACTTCTCCTGGTACGATAAATGTTGTTGAATTTGGTCCGAAATTTTGGAAGAACTAGAAAAATCGAGAAATAACGTTAATCCATTAAATTAATTCATTAAATTAATTCATTAAATTAATTCATTAAATTCAGTTAATAACAATTAAAGTAATCTCTATACCTGAGCAAGTGTAAATATAACAATAAAGCCAGCGTTTGGTCCCTTTTTGATCTCATCATAGGCGAAACCCCAGATAATGAAGATTATTGTTAATAATCCAAAGCCCATAAGTTGAATCGGTTTTCTACCCCATGAGTCCACGAACAAAACGGTGAACCAATAACCAGGGACAGTTCCCAGTATAGTAATAATAATGTTTCCGATGGAATTATTCCAGAGATTTTGGAATACTCTCTTATCCTTTGCATAACCGATTGCATTCAAGATAATGGTATTATTGAGACCAATACCATAAAAGGCCACATCCAACGCGAACCTATATTTTAAATAATCAATCAATTAATAGTAAGTAAATTTTCGCTTATTTAATGAGCGAAATTTCAAAAAAAAATTACCAAGTCACGCTCGTGCCGAGCAAAACCTTTCCATTTTTCCATTTACCGAAATAACTTTTGAAATCTTGCCAGCCATGACGTGGAGCTTCAACACGGACAACAGGTGCGTCAGGATCACGATCTTCATAAGTACCAGTTGTTAAGACATTTGAAATGTCACGTGTTGCTTGCTCAACATTTCTTTCAATATCCATGGTATATCTTGGGGTTTCCGGAATAGTTAAACGGAAATATAAAGCAAGCAATCCGGGTACAGCGCCAACTCCGAGCAAAATACGCCAACAATAATCAACATTTAGTGGATCGGCTTCGATTGATGATTTGAACGCTGATAAAATGACAGTTGATACAAGGGCAGCGGCCAAAATGCCAAAACCCTGCATAGCGAATACAGCTCCCATCATGGAACCTCGACGTTTAGTTGTTGCAAATTCACTGGTAATTACTGATTGATTGATTGATTGATTGATTGATTGATTGATTGATTGATTGATTGATTGATTGATTGATTGATATGGAATGGGTTAATTTGTTACATAAATAAAAATCAGGTGAAAAATATTGATTAGTGCTTACCAGCCGATAAAGGATAATCTCCGCCAATACCAACACCAAGAATACTTCGCCATATGATAATAACCGCCTGAACACTAATCGCATATCCATTCCCAGCTAAAGCAGTTCCGCAAGAGGCAATGACTATAATCATCAGTTCAATACCGTACATCTATTAATATTATTATTAATAAATTGATTAATAAACTAATAATTAATAAAGTGAAGAAAAAATAAATGTAAATTGTAAAGAACTTACTCTCTTTCTTCCCAATTTGTCTGCCAACCACCCGAATAGCAATTGACCAACTAAAGTTCCCACAGCAGCCGAGACTTTTATTCCAAAATCTATCTCTTTAGGAGGACTATCCTTGTTCCAATAAACATACCCCAGCATTGTCGATGCCAAATTGATAGCAAACAGATCATAGGCATCAGTGAAGAAGCCGATACCAGCGACTAAACAGGCACGAACGTGAAACCAGCCGAATTTAGCGTTGTCAATTTTTGATAAGGCTTCTCTTCGTTTTTGATCATAGTCTTCGACGTTTTTATCCACTCTAATCTCATTATCACTTTTCGACATGTTTTTGTTTGCCTATTTAGCTTAATTTGTTGAAATAACTGTCTCGATAAAGAATTTTTTGTTGTTATATATCGAATAATAGAGAGTGTTATTTATTATAGGTGTTAGTGACCGTTGTCGATATTATTATAAGTGAAAGTTCAAGAGGATGACAACAAGTGAGGAAAAAAAGGAGGTTAATTTGACAGGCTCTTTTTATCAAGATTTCGCGAACACGAGCCTTTTAAATCGTTAGACAAACTTGGCGAACCAAGCAAGGTTACTTCTTTACATTATAAAATACTGATTCTTAAATATTTTTCGAACATAAAATAGATGCGCGTGTATACAATTTACGCAATAATTGGCTAGATAAAAAATCGGTTAGATTCATTCAAGTTACACATGTTAAATAGTGGAAAAAACGTGGTAGAATTGATCATTTCTTTGTTTGATCTATATTACGTGATTCTAAATTTTTTGTGTTCAACCACAGCATTAGTTTGTTTTCGACCAATTATAAGATAGATAATAAACACGACCTATAATTTAAATTTATAAAATACTAAATTTCAATTGAATTGCGAATACAGGGCGTAGAGTTGCATTTGGGCATTTGTTCATACAGTATATTTTGATCGCGTGAGCTCATGTTATATACTTATTAGATAAATCACGTGTACAAATATTTAGTGTTATTATATATCTATATATATTATCGTTATAGAACCAAAATTGACTAGATTGATGATCGGCAGTTAACAAATGATGCTTCGTTATATCCGTTAATCCATTGTTATAACGATGACTAATTAAAATCTAATAAAATTTCCCTCCATTAACGATGACTAATTTCTCTCCAAGTTAGAAATCTATCGGCGATGACGATTAAGAATTTTCTAAACCTAATTATTCAGTTGGTCAGTGCTCCGTCGGCTGAACATGTACAAAGAAGTTTAAATCTCAAAAAACGTGTTTATTTTTACGCAAATAACCTTCTATAATTCTTACACGTTTTGCATTGTTGTACTACCCAAATTTCCTTGGAAGTCCATAATTGTGGTACAAGTAATAAGAAAAATATGAGGTGTGACAAATATCCATTTTTTCATTTAACATATCCTGGGTTGAAATTTTTCACCAGTCGAAGAAAGAAAATATGTCATGATGATATAACGGTAATAATACAGTTATTTTTGTGTCGCGAAAAAAATCGGTCGAAAAGATGATAGCAGTAATTGAATAAATTGAATAATATTTTCCATTCTTTTCTTCCAGACCAACCAAAACATTTTCAGATGACACGAGGTAAATTTTTATTATTCGTGCATTAATGAAATTATTTTTCGGAAAAACCCATCTTTGTTTTTCATTGGTTGGTTAATCAACTTAGCCAATGAAGATAATACGCCATAACGTTATAAGAATTTATCGTCACGCACGAAGATTTTGTGAAACCAAAATGGCCCTCTCTGTGATCAACTAATTTGCAATTATGCAACTTCAAAAATGAAGTTAGGAAAGAATGACAGTGTGACGAGAACTTTGGCTGATTAAAAATTACTCGATCTAAGAAAAAGCAATCACAGCAACCAATAAAGATGCGAAAATTTTGATCAGCCCGGCAAAACAAACCCGACACAAGAAAATGAAAAAAGTAAAAAATACGGGAAGCAAACGCCTAAATCCACTAATCAAAAATTTCGGTGAGGCAATTTTACATATCCTGATCAGCACTCTAAAATCAGTCTTAACATTACTGTAGAACTTTCCGGGATTAACAAAACCTGGCTGCATTTACTAATTTTTTCTCCAAGTTTTGATTGATTGAAAATATTAAAGGTTAGTTTTAGCATAGAATTAAGGGTTAGGATTAGGACTATAGAAGAGATTATATGTAAAATTGTCTTCCCAACATTTTTTATTAGTGCTTTAAGCCAGATTTATCCATTTATTTTCCATATTTTTCACATTATTTATTTTTATAATTTTCTTATATTATATTTGTTTTGCCAGATTAATCAAAAATGTATGTATTTTTATTGGTTGATTTAGAAGACCTGGTGTACAGTCAACCAATCAGCGATAAAAATTACTTGTATCCAATCAGAACTTGGGAAAAATTAGTAAATATAATCTGATTTTTCAATTTGTTTTGAATTTATTAGAACAATTTTCAAAAGTTTGAATTATATAATATTATTAATTAGTATTAGCTCTTTTAAGTTACTGGTATAATTCTAAAAAAAAGTTTGATTTAATTCAAGCTTGAACTGAACTTGAACCTAATTAAAAGTCTGGTTCAAAAATTCGAATACAATCAAATTCCTCTATAATTACATTTATTTATAATTACATCACTCTATAATTATTTTATTTTGCTTTCTCATTTATATGTAAAAAATCTCTTTATAGTCACATTCTCTTTATAATCATCAAATTTTGCTTTTCTGAGAGTGATGACTATAGAGGAATTTGATTATATAATTAAAAATTTAATTGAATTTAGTTGAACTTCAAATCAAATTCAAATTTAATTAAAAATTTGATTTGAGTTCAAATAAATATTCAATAAGCTTCTAAATAAAATTATAAATCAGAATTAGAGCTACAAATTAGTATAAAATAATTAATATATAATAAATATTATTATTATAATATTATTTTTATTTAGTTAAATTTTGTATATTTTTAATAAAGATAATTAAATAATAATATTTTATTAAAAATATTTTATTTAAGTTATTATTTTTGTATTGATTAAATAATTAATTATTTAATTAATATCTTTTTCAAGCTCTTAATTATACTTTATTTATAATAATTATTTTTTATTAATAATAATTATATTTATAATTAATTATATAAAAATTATAAAAATAATTTTTATAATATAATTTGAATAATTAATATATATAAAAAATATAAAAAATATAGAAATTATAGAAATTATAAAAATTATGCAAATTATGCAAATTATACAAATTATGTAAATTATATAAATTATAAAAATTACTTAAATTATAATAATAATAAATAATAATATTACCATTTTAGTATGACTTTAGATTTTGTCACAAGAGTACACGTGATAGAATTAGGTAAGAAAGTTAACATATTAAATAACTTTAAGTTGAGAGAATTTACTAAGTTATCTAAAGGTAAATAATGTATATTTATTTTGTTGATTAGCTAGAATAAGATCAAAAAGATTCAAAGGTAATTGTGTCTTTTATAATTTAATTTATAATAAGTTGAGCATTCTTTTAAATTTAGTTTATAAATAAGTAATATGTAATTTTCTTTTATTAATTTAATATTATTATTGACTTTATAATATAGATGAGAGATCAAATACAAGAATATATAAAATAATATAACTTCATAATAATGAGAAATTATAAAACAAATACAAGAATAACTTCGCAATTAAAATAAGAGATTATGAAAATACTATCTAAAGGATTATTAAAAGAATATAAAACTAAACTAAGTTATTGATTAATTAATTAATTGTTTTTTTTAAGCTAAGATATAAATTATATTTATAAGTATTTGATAATTATAAAATAATCATTTGAAATGATCATTCAGAATATTTGAAATGATCATTTGCAATGATCATTTGCAATGATCATTTGAAGTAATCATGTGAAGTGATCATGTAAAATGATCATTTGTGATTATTAAAATATCTAATCACAACAGAACTCTTATTGTTAAGTATTTTACTCCATAAAATAAAAAAATAAAGTAAAAATTAAGATAAAAGTAAAAATAAAAATAATTAAACTAAAATATTATCTAATTTTATTTTTTCTGAGTTCATTATCATTTATTTAAATATTTCAATAATTATTCTTTGAGTTCATCACTATTTCATTTATTTAATCTTCTAATTGAATTCAGTTTAAAATATTTATCAATCTTTTTATAATTTAATACTCCAGAAAAATTTTTAAAGTAGTCGTAAATTTCTTAGAGCAGCTAACACTTTTGCAATAGTATTATATGAAGAGATATTTTTTTAAACAAGTATTTGACTTCAGTCATTATTTGTGCAATGATTAATTCAATTGTTAGATTATTGAGAATTCGTCCAATTTTAAAGTAGAGAGCAGTTTCAGTATATTGTTTAATTAAGAATAAGTCAGTATAAATTAATAGTAAAACTTCATCAGAGAAATATGTTGGTGGTGTTTCAATTTGTTCAGAATTAGTTATTGCGTTAATAAGTTTATTAATAGTATGACTTTCAAATTCAATTAATAGTGTTAAGTTACTATTTTTATTATTATCATTATTATTTGTTTTTTTATAAAGTGATGGAGTAATGATAAAACATGATTCATTATGATTGATAATGAATTAATATTCTGGATAATGTTGTTGAATTTTTGTTTGTAATTCCATTATTAATTGTTGAATTTTCAATAGAATGTTTTCAAAATTATAGATAACATGATAAAAAATGAATAAAATAAATTTTAATACAAATAATAGAATTAAAAGTGATTATATATATATATATATTTTTGAATTTTATAATTTTTAAAATTTTTAATTAAATTTGATTGATAATGATTTTTAAATGAATTAATTATGGTAATTAATAATTAATATAAATTAATTAAAGTAATTAAATTATTAATTATCTATATAAAAAATTGAATTGTAATATATTAAAATAGTTTAGATCTTTGCATGCAGAATCATATTTTGATCCAATTATCATTTCTATTTTCCAAATTGTTGTATTTAGTTCTATAATTTGTACAGTATTACAAGAATTTTATTAATTCTTTTATTGCTTTATAAACTAATTTGCATAATTATTTGCTCCAGTTTCAATAGACTTGTTTTTTTGTTTAGTTAGAATAGTATATTTTTCAATATGAAGTGATAATGTTAATATCTTTTTCATATTATTAATTTGTGTTTGTGTTTCTTCTTTTGCTTAATATTTTTGAAATCATTTGGTAGTATATTGTACTTGTTGTTTAATATTATCATTATCCAAT